CCCCAAAACCCCAAAACCCCATCGAGTTGAATATGGTGCAATCAAAAAGCAATTCAGTCTTAAAATAAATTGTAGAGTTAATTATACGTATTCTCGATTATTTTTTTAAAACTATTTTTGCTATAATAGATAAACTTATTTATTTAATGGAGACTTCTGCTTTTCATGAATCTTTTTTAACAGAAACACAGACAAATGAAACCTTGAAAGCAAAACATCAACGATGGAAGGAGTAACATGAATCTTTTGATTCAAATGTTATTCGAAGTGACACAAACATCAGCAATGTCCAGATGAGCCCAGTGAGTGATGTAAAGAGCCGAGACAACTCTAGAATGAGAACTCATCTTCAACGCGATCAGAAGCCAATTTAAATGTCAGAGAGAATGCAGCGAAGAAACAGGAACAGAATAACCCTACATAGCCTAGCCAAGTACAAGATCCTTGTCCTTAATGTCTAGTAAAACCAGACTTAAGTGCAGCTGAATGGATCTCAAAGTAAGTTAAAGCCAATACTCATGACAATGACCGAATAAGTTGGAAGTATTTAAGGCACAGCAGCTGGTTTTAATACTAGCGGGATGAACTCTCACAGCATGTACACTTCAACTTTATAGTAATAAGATGAACAAATGTCACAGATTCCAGTGATAAGTAACTTGTCACCTGACCTGAGCTTTGAGAATACAGATTACAAAGCTACCTCCAAATTGATGGGCAGCAACAACTTATAACTTCATAACAGATTCTTTGCTCTCAGAAGATAGAGAGTGTTGCTGAAGCACACTTAAAATACTTAAGTTTAATCTCCTTCCATTAGCAAAAATAGATTTCTTCCTCCAGCTGTTCGACAGAATTATTTAAATGCAACCTAGATATTGCCCAGACCTGAAAGATTGATATATAGTCCAAATAGCAATGATGGTGTAAAGAGGGTTAGTGGAAAGTTTTAAATCTTAAAGATAACTGCTGATGCTGGAGGATTTTAGGCTAACATCGAAAATTAACTTGGTTCAACTATAGACACAGCAAGTAATTAGCTTAAAAATTTCTCTAGGTTCAGTAACAGAACTAACAGAGAATCAAGAGGCATGTCTTATGTAGATCGAGGATATCGTAATTAGCCTAACATTGAGGAAAGTAGGCCAGATAGTAAATAGGTAATATACTGCTAAGGACAATCTTTTGACTCTAAATTCACTAACGATGAATTACCACATCATAGTCCCAAATATACCCCTGTGAATTAAAATTAACCATTAACTGCGAGATAGTTTGATGTGGACTATGCATCCAACTATGAAAAGATAAATTAAATAATGGTTGACTAGCATTAACATATCATCAAAGTTCACAATACATCTGACTAAATCGAGTCATCATGAAAAGAGGAGTGAAGTTTCGTGTCATGCAGTAACTATCTATAAAATATATGCTTGGTGCATGAGTAGTGAATGTAGGAGTTAAGTTAATGATTGATGATGTGTAAATATAATAAAGTTGGATTATAGATTTAAGTTTATTTTACTTATTACATATATATTAATGGGACTCAATCTTTAATTTATGTAAACCATGTAGGGATACAACTCATATAATACTGATTAATTACAATGCCTTGACAATGTATGTAAGATATATAATATTTGATCATTCTGCTTGAATCATCCTTCTAATGTTATTAACTTGTGCCTTAGTGGCTAAGGTCTGATGATGTTAGTTGGATTAAATTGAACTACCTTCATTATCGTTAGAATGTTCTCCACTACCTGTAGCAATCCTATGTGGACTGACTCTCAAGATGCTAGGTTTTTAATTGGAATTTATAATATTTATTTAGTCATTTTCGGTTGAGTTTTAAGCATCCATTTGGTCGAACTAAAATCTACTTCTTGAATTATTTTATAGTCCAGCACTCTAATTAGGTGATGATTAAGTTGATTAATTAGTAGTAGATAGCAAGAGTTTATTAGGTTATACAGTCATTCTTTTTGCTAAAAAAGAAGGTGATCCGAGTCTCTTGACTTTGTTAAACTCCTCTTGGAGTCGGGGACTTTTACACTCCATTTTTGCTTCGTCCTCTAGCATTGATTTCACATTCACTTGATAGACACTCATCAAACTCAAAAAGCTGTGTATGTCTTTCTCCTTCTAGGTTGCTGTCTCTGGAATAAATAAATTCCTGACAATACTTAAAGATTCTGCCTTTTCAAACACAGTGTTGTAAGTATTTAGTTTTAGTGGGCTGGTCATTTATTTTTGCTTCAAAGGAGAGACTCTACTGAAAGGTTTGAGGCTAGGATTAGATAAGAACTAAACAGTGAGGGGAGGGGATTGGATAGCATTCTAGGTTTTCGTCTATTGCTCTTGTTACTCAGTCATATTCATTTTAATGAATTTTAAATAATATATTCCAATATCCTATCAGCAGGTTTTTTACTAAAGGCTTTCTAATTCAATCATGAGCTTTTAATCAATCGGGGTTTTGGGGTTTTGGGGTTTTGGGG